CTTCAACTCCCAGAATTCCCCAGCCAGCGAATGCTGGCTGGGGAATTCTGGGAGTTGAAGTCCGGACATCTTCAAGTTGCCAAGGTTGAGAAACACCGTCCTATCCAAATACTAATCGGATCTTCTGCTCCTCCATCTTTTCCGAATTGGCCCAAGCACCTTCAACTGCCGGCACACGCGTGCGCCCCACCAAATATGTAAGGACGAAAATCCTCGCTGGTGTCAGAGTCTCTTCGCTTGTTTTCCACAGCTTATGTTTTCTGACCGAATCGGAAAACTATTAGAAACCCCAAAGCTCGGAATTCGTGCTCCTCTACACTTTTTTTCTATCTAGAGAGGCACAGGAGGCCTTAACCATAGCGGCTCACAAAAGCCAATCAGCGACCTCTAAAACCGACGGCCAATGATATTTCAGGAAATCGTGACGCGTGCGCCTCGTCCCGTTACTCTGCAGGGGCCATTTTGAGTGCTGGCCCCTGCCCTTCCCAGCTGTTCAGCGCCCGCCACATGCTGCGGCCGGCGCTGGGCGTTCTGGCTCTGGGCTGGGCGGTCGCCTGGCTGGCATCCCGCGGCTTCGCTCCCTGGTGGTGGCTGGGGCAGAATTGCAGCGGGGAGATAGTCCTAACTGCCACCGAGCTAAGCCGCTACACGGGCACCGAGGGAAGCCCGGGACTTTACCTGGCCGTGTTGGGACAGGTGTTCGACGTGCAGCAAGGGCGCAGGCATTACGGCCCAGGAGGCGCTTATGGCTTCTTCTCAGGTACCCGCCTCCCCGTCCCTCTTTCCCACCCTGGTTAAAGAGATGAGCCTTTCTCCCTGCGCGAGCGTACGGTGCAGGGCGTGCATTGCAAATAGCAGTAGCAATAGCACTTAGGCTTCCCAGTGCTTTACAGCCCTCTCTAAGCAGTTTACAGAGTCAGCCTATTGCCTTCCAACAATCTGGGTCTTCATTTTATCCACCTCGGATGGATGGAAGGCGGAGTCAGCCTTGAGCCTGGTGGGATTCGAACTGCCAAATTGCAGGCAGCCGAGGCTCTTCTCTTCAATGGACGTGATCTACATGCACTAGAATTGGAAGACTTACTTAGAATAACTTTATTGTCACTTTGAATGTACACTAATCGGCATACATTAAAATGAAAATTTCATTGCATACACTCCTCCAAGGGTCTCTACCTCCAATGTGCACTATATAAACGTGGCTAAATGAATAAATAAAATATAAGAATAGAATAGCAGAGTTGGAAGGGGCCTTGAAGGTCTTCTAGTCCAACCTCCTGCTTAGGCAGGAAACCCTATACCATTTCAGACAAATGGCTATTCAACATCGTCTTAAAAACTTCCAGTGTTGGAGCATTTACCACTTCTGAAGGCAAGTTGTTCCACTGATTAATTGATCTGACAGAAAATTTCTCCTTAGTTCTATTTTTTAAAAATAAATATTTTTATTGTACATTTTTCTTTATAATACATCATAATTCCAGTTTTGCAACGGCAATGTACTGGCTGTATCCAGTCCTTTTTGAGTATACATAGTTTTATACACCCTGATTAAAACCAATATTCTCTTAATCATACATTTATAGTCTTTTAAATACATGTTGTACGTCATAGTTATAAGCATTTTCATAATTGTACAATAACAGCCTATATATTTATCTCTCCCTTTTCTACTCCTTTCGCCTCCATTTTCCTCTTCTCCTCTCCCCTCTTCTCCACTTCCCTCTCTCCTACTCTCCTCTTGTCCATTTTCTTCTCTCTTTCCCCTTCTCTACTTCCCTCTTCTTCTTTCTCCTTCCTTCTCCTTTTCCTTCAACTTTTCTCTCCTCTCCTCCTCCATCCTGTAAATTTATCCTTAGTGCTAGGTTGCTTCTCTCCTTGATTAGTTTCCATCCATTGCTTCTTGCCTTGCTTTCAGGTACTTTGAAGAATAGCTGACTCCCTCTTCTTTGGGGGGGAGAGATTCTCCTATTTTCCTCTTTCCAAGGGGACCGATTGAAAGCTGAAAGGTCTGGATTGAGATTCCAAGCTCCATCATCCACCTTGACACCTTCTGACTCTAGTTATTCTCAATGAAACGCCCCTTTTGTATCCTTCCACCATGCCCCATTTTTGTTTCATAATATAAAGCACAGCCACATGGATTACGTGGCAGTGGATCATTTTTTATTTCTAGCAATCAAATAGATTCCCCCCCCCCCCAATGATTACCTGTCCCTAACCTATTTCTTAGTCTTAAGTCTTTTCAAGGGTGGGCTCACCACCATTGCAACTGAGCCCCATCTATGTTGCTGCTTGTCATTCTCTTTTCTTCCATCTTTCCCAGCTTTAGAAACTTTTCCAGAGAGCTGAGTATATGCAATGTGGTTTATTATGAGGCAAAGCATAATGTGTCTGAAGTAGAATAATTTGAACCTGCTCCATTTGTCCCTAGAGTGAGTACTCTGGATTGACTTGGTCGATGATCCAAAGGATCGTTTTCTTGCCATTCGCGGTATTCTCAGGAGTCTTCTCCAATACCAAAATTCAAAGGTGTCAATACTGCTTCTACTCTACTTCTTCAGTCTTAAGTTTTGCTTCCATACTACGGTTTGCATGATTCTGATCTTCGTAGGGATACACACATCATGGTATTTGAATATCTTTTCCAAAGCCTTCGTGGTTGCTTTGGGAAGAGAATTCATTTAACTTAATTTACTTTACTATTGCTTTTAAACATTTTACCTGTATTTTTAATAGTCTTGTTTTGTTTTTGTGTGCATTGCCCTGAATCACAAGTGTGAGTTGGGCAATTATATAAATTGGTAAAGTTGGTGTCAAGAGCCTGCAGAGATTTTGCAAATGTATGTATTTAATTTATGGTCTGCCCAAATTACTCTGGATAGCGTACAATTAAAAACTAACTTATTAAAGGAAAAATACAATACACTGGAAGAGCAAAGCACAAAAACAAAAATGTCCATTCCTAAGGCCTGGGAGAAGTACCAGGTAAATGGTTATTTGAGGGATTGCCTTGATTACATCTGTCCCTCCCATTAGGTGGGGCAGATGGGATTAACCCTTGTCTTTTTGATCCTTTTTCATCCAGTTGCCTAAAAAAATGAAATTCTTTCATTTGCCTAGTGCAGGGGTATCAATCTCAAGGCCCGAATCCGGCCTGTGAGGTGCTTAGATCTGGTCCACGGGGCCACCCTGGAAGCAGCAAAGGACCTGCCCGTGGTGCCTTTGCCAGTGAAAGCGGAGCTTGGGAGGGGCATGCGTGGCCCTCCTGAGCTCCATTTTCCCTGGCAGAGGGTTGCAGGAGGCCATCCCAGCTGAAAACAGAGCTCAGGAACCCGTTCTCGCTGGCAGAGTGCTCAGGCCACAGGCGCCCCCGACACAAGTGGTGTCGAGCTGGCCAGGCCCACCCCGCCCATCTCACCCTGAGGTCAAACAAAACCCTGTTGTGGCCCTCAATGAAATTGAGTTTGACACCCCTGGCCTAGTGAGTCAAATTTTAATTTTGGTTAGTTTTTATCTCTTAGGGATGATTCACACCCTGGCCAGTGTCTTTTTTCACATTCACCATCGGGCAGAAGACACAGAAGTTTAGCCAGCCAGACAAACAGGTTTAAAAACAGCTTCTGGGCTGTCAGACTCCTAAACACAATATAGCACCACAAATTTCACTGGCTGCCAGTGTAGTGTGTAATATGTATATACCATAAGATAAGAGCATACACCTGAGTCATATACATGTTGCACAGAATATGTTGTACATATGGAAACGTATGACTAGTTTTTCCCCTAACTACTTGTATAAGAATTATCCTTTATATTATTCCCGTCTCATATGAACTGGATATTCTATCTAATTTCCTTTTTAACTTTTGTAATATGTGTTGTTGTTTTTTAATGTTGTACACTGCCCTGAGTCCTTTGGGAGAAGGGTGGCATATAAATCCAATAAACAAACAAACAAATAAACAAACTGCACCAGGAGAGGCTAAACCAATTTCGTTGTATACATGAGATACAATGACAATAAAGACTTTTGACTTNGGTGAGGGTTCGAATCTCCACAGGGAGCTCGTTCCAGTTGTAATAGAGAGCAAAAGCTTTTTTTGGGGTGGGGGTGGGGGGTGGGAATGCAGCCACAGTTTCTGTGGCAGATGGTATAGAAAGCAAATGCAATTGTTAGTTGGCAGCGAAGGAGCACTAAGCAGAGTCACTGCTTTGCTGTTCTCTCTCACAGTGCAAGTCCTGCAGAGACGCTCCCGTTTGAGGATAACTCTGTGGATCTCATCACAGCCTTTAGCGCTGTGCACTGGTTTGATATCCCCAACTTCATGAAGGAAATGGACCGGATTCTGAAACCATCTGGCTGCTTTATCTTGTGTTCCAACACCCTTGATATGCAGTGGCATTATGGAGATAAGTCAGAGAAGCTGACGGAGATCTTCAAGGAGGTAAGCACCCTGCAGGCACCCAGGTGAGTGATAGCACCTATTGCCACATGCATACAGGTGGTCCTTAACTTACAATCAAGGCATTTTGCAGTCATTTCGAAATTACACCTTTAATGAAGAAAGTGACTTGAAACCTGTCCTTGCACTTACAATGCTTGCAGCCTACCCAACGTCAAGTTATCAAAATTTGGTTGCTTAGCAACCAGCATGCATCCACAACAGTTGCAGAATACCAGGGTATTGTGATCGCCATTTGCAACCTTCCCAGCCAACTTCTAACAAACAAAGTCGGTAGGGAAACAAGATTCACTTAACCATGTTATTAATTTAACTGCAGTGATTCATCTGACAACTGTAGCAAGAAAGATAGCAAAATGGGGAAAAACTCTCTTAACAATTGCCTTGTTTAACAACAGAAAATTTGCACTCTGTTGTGATCATATGTCAAGGACTATCTGTACAGTATGTCAAGAACTCTTCAATTATTCCTGGCCTCAAAAATGTGGCTAAATAAGATGGCATAGTGCCGCGCCAGGGCGGATGGAGGTGGTGGTGCACCCGGGATCTCGGCTACCTGTTTACCTGAACCAGTCCAAACCAGCTGAATAACATCCCTGACCCCAGGACACTGCAACCATTATATATATGAATCAGTTGTCAAGGATCTGAATTTTGATCACGTAATCATGGACATGCCACAACAGTCGTAAGTGAGAAAAATAGTCATCAGTCACTTTTTTCGGTGCTGTTGGAACTTCTAACAGTCACTAAACAAATTATTGTAGTTGAAGGACTACCTGTATGGAACCATGGAATGGCATGGTAGCCACAGAGACAGCCAAGGAACCACAAAACAAGATCAGATTCGGTGTTCTTTCTAATGGACAGATCTCAGCCCAACCCAACCCATCATCTAACTATGGAATTGCCAAAGCAGAAGTTTGCAATTCTTCCTTATCTATGGCTCAATTGCACAGTGGAGACAACAATCAACCAATGGACAGAAATTGCCTCCAGAAATTGTGGGTGCTTCATCACTGGAGGCTTTCAAGAAGAGATTGGACTGACATCTGTCAGAAATGGAATATGGTTTCCTGCTTGAGCAAAGGGTTGGACCAGATGACCTACAAGGTCCCTTCCAACTCTATTATTCTAAGTCTGCAAAGCCTACAGGAATCTTAGATGGCAACAAAGAGGTAACACCAAAGTCTTTGCTGCCACCTAATGGTGATCTAGATTTTGCAATCCAAATATAGTGGTCTTGCCTTCAGTATCCGGCAAGGCATCTGTGTCATTTGAGAATGAGATCCATTGCATGCACTCTTTCTCTCATCTGTTCGACATCTGCCAGTTTCATCAGGCACTACTGAATTTTGTAATTGAGGAGAGAAAGTGCACAAAGGGAAAATTCATGGAGAAAAAGACCTTGATGTTATAGCTCTGACTTATAGGATAAAGGGACTTTATAGGATAATAAAGTGACATAAGATAAAGCTCAGCAGTGTCTACTATGAAATCACATCTAAGTCTTTCTCCCTTTCTTTTTATGCAGATTCAAGCCCAGCTTCTTCCTTATACACATGAAAGGGTCAAGTTCGTTGCAGATGACTACAAAGCAATATTTGATGCTGTGCCCTTCCAGGATAAGGAAAGGTGAGTGGTAGACGTCTGAGTTTCTATGGCTGTGAAGCTAGCAGATTGTGGGATTCAGCCCATGTACAAAATTACAAGCACGAACCATGCATGGCCAAGTTGTAATCCCATATCCACGCACCTGGTGGCTGCAGGGATATTAGAATCTGATGATGGATCCAGAAGAAACAATGCTGGAACAGACCGTGCATTTTAAAATGTTTTAATTTATTTTCTTAATTACAGCGACACCTGGAGTCACTGGGAATTGGGCAGCATAAAGATTTCATAAATTATTCTTCGTTGCACAATCAGACAGATGTTTAGACTGGATTCGGTATTTTTTAATCTACCTGTCGATTCCTTCTCAATGACCTGGGCTAAGAAGATTTTGTTGCTTGATAATATTAAAAGTATCAGCACAGGATGTAAGCTGTTCTAAGTAAAACTGCCTTATGAAATTGGTGGCGATTTTTTCAATGCTGTTACAACTGACAACGCTTCTGATGAAAAGGGAAGCCGCTTTTATTAAATGGGTAAAGGTAAAGGTTCCCCTCGCACATAGGTTCCCAACTCTAGGGGGCAGTGCTCATCTCCATTTCTAAGCTGAAGAGCCAGTGCTGTCCAAAGACATCTCTGTGGTCATGTGGCCGGCATGACTAAACGCCGAAGGCGCATAGAACACTTACCTCCCCACCAAAGCAATAGCAATAGCAGTTAGACTTATATACCGATTCATAGGGCTTTCAGCCCGCTCTAAGCGGTTTTACAGAGTCAGCAAAGTGCTCCCTATTTTTTTTACAGAGTCAGCAAAGTGCTCCCTATTTTTCTACTTGCATTTTTACATGCTTTCAAACTGCTAGGTTGGCAGATTTTAGCATGCCAACCTAGCATATTATTAGCTGGGACAAGTAATGGGAGCTCACTCCATTACGTGGTGCTAGAGATTCGAACCAGCAAACTTCTGACAAGCTCAGTGTCTTAGCCACTGAGTCACTGTGTTCAATGGGACATCATTCTAAATAGACAAATTGCATTCTTTTCCCCAAGGGCTAACTGCAGCTGCTATTCCTTTGCTAACCTCAGTAAACCTAGGATCATTCCATTAATCTACCCCAGGGGTCTCCAACCTTAGCAACTTTAAGACTTGTGAATTTCAATTCCCAGAATTCCCCAGCCAGCTTTGCTGGGAGTTGAAGTCCACAAGTCTTAAAGTTGCCAAGGTTGGAGACCCCTGATGTAATCTACAGAACCCAGGGGATAAAGTTTATGATTCCACCCTAAAAGATACTTTGCTTTTTTTTTTTTTTTACAGAATCACAGATATTGTCGATAAAATTCCCAAAACTGTCACTGAATTAATGGGATATCTCCAGACCTTTTCTATGTACCACAGCTTCCTAAAAGCCGAGCCTGAGGCAGCCAAAGCTCTCATTCAGAATGCTGAACAAAGGTACAATATGATGACAAATAATTCAACAGAGAAAATCTGATTAGATAAGACCCAAGAAGGGATTTTTTTTCTAATACTAAAATAGCAACCTTCAAAATAGTCAGCAGAAAAAAAAATACAGTCCTAACTTATAGGCAAATAAAGGTAGTAGTATACTCATTATTAAATCCATTTTCTTCCAACCTTGCTCCATCCAGATGTGCTGCGTCTGTCAAAATTCCCAGAAACAAACCATTTCCCAACATATTTAGAAGAGCAAGTTAGAGAAGGCTGAAGACATCTCTATCAGACATCCAAATGTTAACAGTGAAGTAGCTGTAGAGGTTTTCTACAGAAGGGAGTTGTAGGGGTTGCAAGGTGGAATGAAGCCGCTTTATGGCGAGGTGAATAGCAAACAAGTTTAGCAATAAATAAAATTAATATGCTTAAATTATTCTCTTAATACAAAATGTTAGAAGATGTGTGTTGAAACCTCACTGCCAGCTTCACTGGGTTAACTAGCTAGTCAGATGAGCTAATTCTACTTTATTGTCAAACTACATTGATAAACTCTTGTAAGTCTGAAATTGCAATTTTCCCGCAGTCTCCTTTGCAGCCCAAAAAACTAGGGAGGGTGTCTTACTAGCTTCTTGCCCTGAGCACAATGCAGTTGTAGGCAGTGCTTCCTCTTATCCGACTCTTCTCTAAACAATGTCTCTTGGTCCAGTCTTTCCCACATGGCATTACGCTTACATTATAATTTTCTGTTTTTTTAGTCAAAAAATTGTTGAGATAACCTGTACTGGAAAAAACAATTCCTTATTGGGAAATAGATAGCCAAAAATAGACAAACTATGTTCCCCAAGTGTTTAATCAACTATTGACTGGCATCCATGCCAATCAAGTTCATTCTGATACACCGGTAATTATTCTTATGGGTTGTATATTACATTGGACTTTGTGACTAATTTATACATTTCCCCTCTGTAGGATTCTGGAGACAATGGGAGTTTCTTCACCTGAAACCGTGCTGGAGGTTTGGGCTCGACAAGTTTGCATTCTGGGTAGCAAGAGCTGTTAAAAAGTAATTTTGGCCTGCTTGGGGGTGTCCCAGCAGAAAAAAACCCAACCCATTTCGGTGCCAAGCTTCAGTTCTATGATTACTACTGATTATTTCCAATAAAAGCAATGCCCTATTTTATTTCTGAGAGGAGTGGAAGGCAAAGGTAAAATTACATAACCATTAAAAAAGAATGAAAGAGCAAAAGGGTGAAGTGAAAGGGACACTGGACTTTAAATAGCTATTCAAATTTTTACCCATAACAATCATTGGGTAACCTTGAGCTAACTATTGACTAGGTTTAAATTACTAATTAAAGCAGACTTTGTGATGGATTCAGAGACCAGCCAGAACAGGTCTCATCCAAAATATCCGTCTGTCTTTGCAGAGTTTATTCTTTTTATACAGTTTTTACAAGCAAAGCAAAGAGCATATAGCAACAGCATTGTAATTGGCATATTCTCCTTGTCAAGCCAGGGGAAAGGTTTCACATATCTAGAGGGTTCCCGGTACTGCCTGGTGCTGTTAATTAGGTGAGCTCATAGGTTAAGAGGTAAACAGCTACTGAGATCATGGCAGCTTGCTGCGCATGTCTTTACGTAACCTTTCCTCTATCCTTACAACTTTGCTAGTGCATTGCTGTATGAATCTAGTTATCATGGATTATGATTTATGAATCTAGTTAATTGTGATTCCCAAGGAATGGTTTAATGTGATGTCAAATTAGCTCAATTTATTAAATTATCCAAAAACCACTCTTACTTCATTTAATCCAGAATCTCATTGCCACCAGCCACTCTTTCTGAACAACCTGCAAAGATTAGGAGTCATTGCTCATAGGGGAGAAACAATGAAGTCTGTGACAGATGCACACACCCCTCCCTTCAGGTTTGCATCTCCCCCCCCCCCAATAATACTTAGCATCTATTCTATATGAAAACCCTGGAATCACCAATATTCTTATTAAGTTCAATTATGCATCGCCAGACCAGGCTTGAGATGGTGTGAAATCATCTGGGTGGATCCAGAAAACTTAAATTTAATCCCAGCAAGATGGTGTAAACTAAAGGTGTCAAACTTGATTTCATTGAAGGCCATATCAGGGTTGTGTTTGACCTGGGGGGGGGGGCATGACCAGAGGGGCTGGCCCATGGGGTGCTTAAATCTGGCCGGTGGGGCTGCCCTGGAAATAGTGAAGGACTGGCCTGCTGTGCCTCTGCCATCAAAAATGAAGCTTGGGACAGCTGACACCCAAGCCCCCACAGGCAGCCCCCACATGAGTGACGTTCAGCTGGCCATGGCCACCCTGGCCACTCTCACCTCGGCCCCCTGAGGTCACACCCAACCCTGAAGTGGCCCTCAATGAAATTGAGGTTGACACCCCTGTTTTAACCTGTATAACTTTGTCTTGACCCTGGCATAGGTTCAGCATTGTTTGCAGCCAGAATCCGCCTGTTCTGTGCCTTTTTTCCAAAAAAGATATGCTCTGGATCTCACTTAAGGTTTCAGGAAGGCGGGGGCTATAAGTGGAGTTTCTCAAGTGTTCCAACCTGTGGCACTGCTGAGGTGTTATGGAAGACCAGGATGCTTCAATAGCAGCCTTCAGCTCTTCTGCATTGTTCGGTCTC